ATGATAAAAAAATAATTTAAGAAACATTTAAAGAGTTTTTTGTTTAAATAGATCTAAGAACACCAGAGCGCAGTGAGCATGCTATGGTAGCGTGGACACCAGCGCTATATAAATATCCAATCAATCAATCAAATATATAGTTGTGTAAGAGAAGGATAGATACGGGATATGAGATGGGGAGGAATATGTACCAGAAAAGTGAGAGGGGGGACAGGGGCAGAGAGAGAAGTGAAGGGGAGGAAGAGAGGGAGAGAGGAGGAGAGATGAGATAGAGGGGGAAAAGAGAGGAGATGGTGAAATATAAAGAGGGGGGAGAGAGAAGGGAGGAAGAGAGAGAGAGAGGGATGGAGAGGAGGAGGAGAGATAGGAGAGGGGCGAAGAGAAGAGAGAGAGAAATATAAAGAGAGGTTGATAGAGAAAGAGCAGATAGAGAGAAATAGGGAGAGATTAGGAGAGGGAGATATGAGGGCAGAGAGCGAGTTATAGTGAGAGAAAGAGAGAAGATGGGAGTGAGATGGAGATAGAGAGAGAGAGAGAGAGAGAAAGAGAGAGGTCAGAGTATTTTAAAGAGAAATATAATTGCAGTTCAGTAATACTGGGTCGTGAAAACACATAAAAAGTGACAGTTAATTTCCCCTTTTCAGGTGCTCTATTGGTCAGGCTTGTGGAGTCAAATAATGTATTTAAAGCTCCAGGCATATGACGAAATGAAATAGAGAATAACTTGCTTCCTTTTCTTTCTCTCTTTTTTCCCCTCTCTTATCGGAACGAAAGAAACCTGTTTGACTCCACAACCTCGTTATATCAAATCTCACCTCCAAGTGCACGGTATTCAGTTATATCAAATCTCATATGAAATTAAATAAATCCAAACAGTACAACATTGACAAGATGGCTGCCAGTCCACGGAGATTCACAGTTTGATACCAAAATAGTTCCAGTAATAGCACACAGACTTACAAAGAGAAAAAATGCAAAGGAACCAGCCAGTTCTCATCTTGGCACTCAGTCACTGTAGGTCAAGGGCACTCTGTGAATACAAGTCACAGTTAAATGGACACTGAAAGGTAACACCTGAAAGGTATCATCTGAAAGGGTCTGTATTAAATACTTTGATACATAAACAAATACAATATATCTCAAATATATATCCTTAAAATAAATGTCATTAAATTATGTGTATTCTAAAAGTTAGCGAGCCGTGTCAGCATTTTCTGTCAAAGCTATCATAACATTTTATTTTATTTGCCAAATCTCTTGGCCTTTCATCTCATCTTGCTATTCTTATTTGAGATGTTTATGACGGTCCAGTATTTTTAGTTGGTGCAAGACACCGAATGCGGTAAAGCCTTCAACAATGATATAACTGTCTTTAGTCCTCCTTGTCAGAGGCAGAAAAAGATTCAATCTGCTGATGCTGGTGGGAAATTTTATTTTATTTTTTAGTTGTGCATCACAGTGTGATCCTAGGGTCTGTTCCGGAACGAGTCCTCTCCTTCTTAAGAGCAGCAGCATACGCATAGCATATTTAATACTTCAATTAAATTTAATTTAAAGCTATCAAAGGCACCTGCGTCTTGTTCGAACCTCCAGCCAGTAGCCCCAGCTAATTACCGCCAGCCAGAACCCCCAGCTAGAAGGTGTCTGTACATCTCTGAAGTCTAAAGAACGTGGTGAAACTATCAGAACAAAAGATCCCACAAAAGATCCCACAAAAGATCCCACAAAAGATCCCACAAAAGATCTCATACCTGACTTAAAAGCTGGAACTGCCAATATGGTCTGTCCACTCCACTCGTATCTGGCCGTTGGCAGAGTTCCGATCAAATAACACTAGTTGGGATGCTTCCTCTCTTCTCGCCAGTCTACTCAAAGAATTCATAATAAAAATAAAAAGTTTAAAATGTAAGTAAAAAATTGATTGACAACGAGTTTCCTGAATGAGTATCCTGAATGAGTATCCTGAATGAGTATCCTGAACGATGACGTCATCAAAAAATACAGATTGCCACGAAAGCTTTTTGAGAAGTTCTGTCAAACATGTGAAAATTTTAGTTTTGATTTTTTCTCTTTATTTAAATTTAAAATTTGTGTACTTCATTTTTATATCATTGGTATCATTTCAAGCTCTGGCGTACCTTGAAGACTGTGAACTTTATATTTTCCCAATGCCAATGTCAGATAACATTCTCAAAATGTTTTGGTCAACTTGATTTACTTATAAGAAGTGCATTGTGGAAAAAAAAAAACACGGGCTCAGTCTGCCGGGAGAGCCACCGTATTCTTTGGATCAGCCCGGCATACCCAACAAATGTTACGTTGTAAAGGAGCGACTCCTCATGCTAACAGGGAACCATGGGCCATACCAGTTACTCATTGAAACAGTTCAGAGTTTAACTCCCATGTTCTACGTCGTAATATTTGTAACACGATCAGACTTTTATTGCTTTAAGGCGTCTTCCTAGTATTGCATGTAATGATGTTGAATGTAATCATTTTGAATGTAATGATATGATTGTAATGACATTAAAGTAGAAATGTGGAAAAGGCGACAAGGGCAAGAGCACAATTTTAAATCAAAGGGAAAAAACCCAACAAACAAAAAAGGTATTGAAAATATTAGCTTATTTTTCTTGATTACTCAAAATTACTGGCTGTTCCACGAGAAGCCGGAAAAACAATCTACATCAGACAAATATTTTTTTTCAATTGAAATAATATTGCTTTATATAATAAAGTTCTCATTTCTTTCACCTCATTAAAATCAAATCTAACTGAATTTACACATTATTATACTATACTAACCAGATTGTTACATTAGCTATTCACAGTCCAATGAATTCGATCGTGATCTACTATCCTTATGTTGCCTTGAAAAATGAAATGGTTGTGTTACTTCTCACAGCAACGGTTCTTTCAATTCAGTAGTCAACGTTACAGTGCTCTCCACGGTTTAAAAGCCGTGCAGTATGGTGCGTCTTTTGTTTCTTGTACGAAGTGTGTATCCTCAAGGGGTGTGCAGCTTAGGCTAAGTTTATTTATAGCTTAGACCAAATAGAATGTATGCTTTTGCCTAACTACGTTAATTATTAAAAGAAAATAAAATTTTAAAAAAAAATGTAGACTATGTATGTAATGATTGGGCTTTTACCCTTTCGAATGTGATTGAATTTTTGATAACTAGCATAAAGTACAGGGTGTTGCAGGAAAAACTGAACCGCACCTCTTCTTCTCTTGAATAGGATATTTCACTGGTTGCAAGGGCTACTCAGTGAGGGTATCATGAACTGGGGTTGGAAGGTTTGAGGCAATAGACGCAAATGTATCAATTTTAGTCTCCTTAACTGTTGCTTTAGGAAGCTTATTCCAGTACCTGATAGTCTTTGGCAGGAATGAGCAGTTCCTGTACTGGCTTCTCGCTGGTATGAGCCGGAACTGCCTGTCATGGCCTCGTCGCTGTCTATGGGGGAGATGGACCTATTTTCTGTTTAATGCTGGAGCAGTGGACCATTATTTATCTGGTACATCACAGAGAGCCTGGATTGTCGTCGTCGTTCCTCCAATGCCGACTAGCACAATGTTTCCAGCTCTTTGGGGTAAATGGGTCCCAGGCCAAAAGCGGCCGGACAAAGGCTGTATATGCCCTTTCTTTTTCTTTCACACTGGAGTTGCCGATCTTTAAATTTATGTTATATATTTCATACTACTTGTTATATTTAGGATATATATATATATTAATATATATACATATATATATTCATACGTAAATAGATATGATTGTGTAGTTTCATAACATTCAAAGATTTTTTTCATGCCATGTAAGGCTTTTGTGTGTGTGTGTGTGTGTGTAACATCTGTACAAAAGCTCCTCTCCAAAATTCATTTTCACCCTTACTTTTGTGATGCCCCCTTACTTTTGTGATGCCCCCTTGAAGCTTGTTAGGCGTTTTATTTACGACACGCTTCTTATTGGCACTGAAATTATGCGCACCGCTGCTGGGGAAATGGTTCCTCGGTGCGCTGCACTCCGCCACTGAAAGAAAGATTTTGCCAGGTAAACAAGACTGGTTGTCGGTTTATTGTTTTACAATATATTTTTAACATGTTATTTTTATCCTTATGCCCAGAGTTAATCACAAGATGCTAACTCATTTTATATTACACTGACCCTAAAGGTTAGATACGGCTTCCTCAATAATTTTAAGTTTTAAAAAATGTTTCTTAGTGTAAAACCAATTTTAAGCCATTCCAATGACTAAATACTAATAAAAAAACATGATTGTGCATATTGATATAGTTATAACGACCATGCTCTCCAAAAATATGGGAACAATCCATCGCGAACTAAAGAGTGAGGTCAGTAGTGTATATTAAACGAACTGAATACTAGGAGGACATATTCTTAAATCTTTGTCATAAATTTATCTCATAACTTATATATATATATATATATATATATATATATATATATATATATATATATATATATCAAAATACATATATATAGATATTATATACTATAAATTATAATATATATTATATATTAAACGAAATGAATACTATGAGGATATATTCTTAAATCTTTGTCATAAATTTATCTCATAATTTATATATATATATATATATATATATATATATATATATATATATATATATAACACAAGACATAGATACGGATATTATATCCTAGCAATTGTAAGATATAATGTTACGATAAATATTACACCATCAGAAGCTTATATTGGATGGACGTAATACCAAGCGGGTATGGCCTAGAAGATTTGATTTCGTACATTTTAACGATAGTCTTGAACTTAAAACACAGACTTCAAAACACACATGAAAAGTACTCTGCTGAAATCATCTACTTTGATAAAATTGCTCGCTTTAATCTAGCATTGATAATCTGTATAAAAAAGAAATTTTTTACCACCCAACAAGGTCCTTGGGCTGAGCTACCACCCTTTTAAGTCGCCACAAAATAAAAAAAAAAAAAAAAAAAAAACCCCGGTCTCTTCGACGAGCTGAAAGATGTCAGAACACAACGTGAAATGCCACCTCTGCACCACGACAAACGCTCAAAATGCCCTCGCCGAGTGTGCTCCAATAATCAGGCGCCACCCCATGGACATGACGTACACCCCTATCTGCCCCAGGCGCCCCCCGCCCAGTAGCACCATGATCCCAAACTGTGGCTGCCCAGACCAGTCGCTGGACGACGAGTCGATTTGCTGCTGCATGCCGGATGTCCTGGAAACCCGTGTACTCAGACGGCCTCAGACATGCGTGAAAATGCCCTGTAACTACTGCATACCCGCCGTCCCTTGCCAGGACCCTCCTAAACCGTAAGATGTATATAGAAAGCGGTACCACGTACATTGCATTTAATACGTTAGTGTTACGAGACTATCATCATGACATGAAGTGGACACATTTATTGGAGACGCTTCTTGCAGGCTTTCTACGCCAAACAATAAGTCCGGCCAGCACCAGAAATCCATTTGACCAATGATTTATATTAGTATATTGTTATGCTTTTTTTTTAAAAAGTGGAGAAATCGGTATTCATGTTATCTGCAGCAGTTAGGGCGTAATTAGGGTTAGTCGCGCCCGGGGTGGAACGCCCCCCTCCACACCACCCCTCCTACGCCAGCGATCTGCATTAGTGTTACAATAGCTGAATACCTGTGCAAAGCATTTTGTAACTGTTGGTTCTAGTATTAATTTTGAAACCATTTTATGACGATTGTGAAATTATGGTCAATTTTTCACAGACAGTTAATTTTACTTACTGAGCCACGTTCAACCTGTTCTCATTTACAATTAATTTTATGTTACCATGATTTCCAACCAATCAACCACCACACTACCACCACCCATACACCCTACCGCCACCACCACCCACATATACATTTCTCTCTCCCTCCAGTCCTAAACCACTGGCTCGAGACCCCTTGTGTTTCGATTGGACGGTTGACGAGCCTGGTCCCAATGATAGCTACGGTCACAAAGGTCTCAACTGGTACGACTGGAAGATGGGGACACTCATGGAAATTAACTTCGAGGAAAAGCTGAACGAGACCTCTCACCCAGGTGCGCACGATTTCAATTCTTTGTTGGTACAGACCAGTGGCAGAGCCACAGTTACTGCCGGAACAGACCAGTGGCGTAGCCAGAGTTATTGCCACCCGGGGCGGGTCAAGCTTTTTTTACCAACCCCTTCCCTGCAAAACAATCTGCAGTGGGTCGAAATTTCCGCCCTTCAATATAAGGACAAAAGTGCCACCCGGGGCGTAACGCCCCCTAACACCCCTTTCCTACGTCACTGGTACAGACTTGAGTTTAAAAACATTTGAATTATTTTTAAACTCATATTTGATCGTATCAATTATGACTTACTATATAGCTCTATACAACGGACGTTTTCCATTATCTTAATAAGATAAAATAAAATTCTTTATTGATCCAAAAAAAAAATGGATTAAAAAAAAAAATTACATTGTGCATATTCATTTTCAGCGCATAAATAAATACATATTTTTAACCCAGACAACATTTTATAGTTATAACAATTTAAACAGAAGACATCTAAATTAATTCTCTAGCCTAGAAATCGGCCATAAATGACACAATTGACTTAATTGGTTATCATTTAGATTCGTTGATCGCTGAGGCAGAACGCTGGTAAATTCGTACAGACGTGGGAAAAGATAATTTTTTATATCTTTCGGTCCTAAATTTTATAGAAAGTATTCGCACTCATGCACCAGCTGTTATTGTTTGCAACGTTTCATGCATTGACAATGCATTTTTTAAAAAAAATAAATTTTATTTAAAGGGCAGTTATCAATGCTTTAAGGAAACTACACACGATTGTTTTTGTTATCCCCCCTTAAATACAGTTTAATTAAATAGTTATACAACGTTTTGAATTCCGCGGTGGGCAATTAATCTTTGTTCAACCAGAGGACTAGCCACACATGTGGCAACAAAAGTCTCTGCAGTGACAACATTTCCTAACATAACTCATTTATGTACTATGTTAAACTGCTTATTGGAGAAATTATATTTTTAAAATGATTTTACTACCACGCAATTATCTAAATTCCTTTCTATAATAAATTTCGCAATCTTTCTGTTGAACCAAAATGTACAAACTATGGTTTTAAAATTCTTCATAAAAAGTTATTGAACAAAAAAAAAATCATGGTAATTCCAGCCAAAGATAAATAAAAAGCGCATTTTGGGGGAACCTTCAAATAAGAATGTACACCTAAATGTAGAATAAACAAAGATTCAGACAGCTACACTTTTTTGTCCTGTGATCATTGGTCAACGTGAAGCCCACCACTGCTATACACCAATAAATATAACGATATTATGCTCTCCACCCAGGCCTGAGCAACGCTCCAGTCCCCACGTCTATCACAAAGTTGGTCTGTCAGCTGCCCGTCATGTGCTACGCCAGGTCACCCGTTCCGTGTAAGACATCGCCGTTCGCCACTGACGTCAACTACTTCCGGGACTGGAGGGCCTGTGAAGCCAAGCCGCCCCCGCCGTGGAAAGCACCCTACGCCCAGTGGGCCACCAATCAGAATCTTTAAAGGAACATCGCTGGACATCGATCAGTTACACTGTTACAGTAACATCAGCTAGTCCTACATCACTGTATATCTATCAGTTACACTGTTACTGCAACGCCAGCTAGTGCCACAGCACTGTACATCTATCAGTCACACTGTTACTGCAACGCCAGCTAGTGCCACATCACTGTTCATCTATCAGTCACACTGTTACTGCAACGCCAGCTAGTGCCACATCACTGTTCATCTATCAGTCACACTGTTACTGCAACGCCAGCTAGCGCCACATCACTGTACATCTATCAGTCACACTGTTACTGTAACATCAGCCAGTACTACGTCACTGTTCATCTATCAGTTACGGTGTCAGTGTAACATCAGCTAAATTCTATGCCATTGACCACAATGACGACTTCAGTGAGAACTATTTTTTTTTAAAACTCTGCAAATGAAGTCTTTGATTTCAAATGAAATATGGGCATGGAATTTTAAAAACAAACATTTTTAAAAAAAATGAAACAATAAAGAAAAAAACTGAACAACAAAAAAAGCTTCACAATGTTTCTTTCCCCTTTTTTTGACTAAATTCGTATTCCCATAATCATTTGAATTATTTTATTTAAATTTGTTTTATTTTTTCTTCCATCTTTGTTTTAAAATTAGACTATCATCCGTATGTATGTAATAATTATAACAACTGGCTTACTCGAGATAAGTCAACACTGACATGCGGAAATCTATTAATATAACATCCGGGCTAACAGTCTGGCCAATCTCATTATGTTATTAATAAAACACCCTGGCATTCTGTTTGGCCAATCTCTCAACAGCTGTCCGGCACTTCTAACGCGAGCCTTAACCTAAACGAAGTTTACAATTTTATTTTGCGAAATATTTTACAAAACAAATTGTCACTGCTACATATATGTGGAAATACATTGTTAGAAAAAAAAAATCTTTAAAAAAATTGTAACATTACGTAATGCGATGTGACATTTACTCGTCTTGGAAATGACAACCATCAACTCAATTAAATTTGAAATGCCGATATCAATTAATTATGATGTAAGCAACATTTGATATTTTAAAATTTACAACTCCAGGTATAAGGTGGATATTTTTATTTCATGTTCACTTACACCCAAAAATGGTTTCAAAAACAAAACCTCAATGCATTATTGATTTGATGGTAAACCTTTGATCTCATTTCTGAGTAAGCTTTAGGTTTTATTTCTGACTTTTTTTTTTATCAGAATGATTCAAAATTTAGTTAAAAGAAGAAAAACGTGTTGCAGGGCTCCCTTTGAATATATATATATATAAAACCACCAAAACCAAACAGCCTGCTTCCATATTGGGTCACTAAGAAAACCTGGAGTAGGCCCCGTCAAACCAGCCTTCTTTGGCCATCTGGTTGACGGTACACTTGCAGAGCTTGGCCTCCATCTCCTTCCGGTCGCCGGTGGTCATCGTGCGCTGTGGTTTGCCGCACGAGCAGTGGGTCGGCGTGGCCTCGTGCCTCCCAGGTGTGGGCATGTCCGCGGGCAGCAGGCCCCTCCGTACCAGCGACTCCCTCTCCTGGAGCATCCTGTAGAAGAGCTCAAAGTAGAAGGACGGGTGGCGGCGGGCGTGGGTGCTGGACGGGGCGCCGGCCGGCGGGAGCTGAGGGGGAGAAGTAGACATGATTTTTATACCAGTGGCAATTTTATTTGAGGATGATAAAGAACTTCAGGAAAAAACTCAAAATGTTTTATGTTGTGTATTGCGGCTGGAAGAATATTAGTGTTGTTAAAATTGACCAAAAAGAAATTTTGTTTATAAAAAATAATAGTAAATATTCAGCAAAACTTTTCGTTATTTTATTTCATCAATACAATTTTAGAAAGCAGAACAAATGTTAAACAACAGTACTAGTGTAATACAGCAGTACCAATTTAGACAGAAGTACCAATGTTAGACAGCAGTACCGATGTTAGACAGCAGTACCAATGTTAGACAGCAGTACCAATGTTAGACAACAGTACCAATGTTAGACAGCAGTACCAATGTTAGACAGCAGTATCAATGTTAGACAACAGTACCAATGTTAGAGAACAGTACCAATTTAAGACAGAGGTATTTATGTTACCAGCAGTACCAAAGCTACCAGCAGTAACAAGGCTACCAGAAGTGCCAAGCCTACCAACAGTAACAAGGCTACCAGTAGTACCAAGACTACCAGCAGTACCAAGCCTACCAGCAGTACCAAGGCTACATCAGTACTAATGTTACCAGCAGTACCACTGTTAGACAACAGTACCAATGTTGGACAACTGTACCAATGTAAAACAGCAGTACCAATGTTAGACAACAGTACCAATGTTAGACAACAGTACCAATGTAAGACAGCAGTGCCAATGTTAGACAACAGTACAAATGTTAGACAACAGTACCATGTTAGACAACAGTACCAATGTTAGACAACAGTACCAATGTTAGACAGCAGTACCAATGTTAGACAACAGTACCAATGCTAGACAACAGTAGCAATTTAAGACAGAGGTACTTATGTTACCAGCAGTACCAAGGCTGTCAGCAGTAACAAGACTACCAGCAGTACCAAGCCTACCAACAGTACCAAGCCTACCAGTAGTACCAAGGCTACCAGCAGTACCAAGGCTACCAGCAGTACCAAGGCTACCAGCAGTAACAAGGCTACCAGCAGTACCAAGGCTACCAGTAGTACCAAGCCTACCAGTAGTACCAAGGCTGCCAGCAGTACCAAGGCTACCAGCAGTACCAAGGCTACCAGCAGTACCAAGGCTACCAGCAGTACCAAGTTGTTATGCTTATCACAGCGACATAACACCCCGTGTGCCCACAAGTCTACCTGTTTCTCAGTGAAATTGAATCCACAAAACCCAAACCACGACACAGAGGGCTTTACAGCTAGTGACAGTCAGACGACTGAAAGGTAAACAAAAGTAACCTCAATACGCTCGCTGTGGAAACTTTCCCAGGTAAGGTGGCGCCCTGTACTCTTAACATTAGATTCAATTTAAACCACTATATACACTGTTGTACATATTTAAATATATTTTTTATATTACTTTCATGAACGGGTGCTAATTATGAAACATCGTGTTAAAATAACAAACAAAAAACAAACAAAAATCCAACAAACAAACAATTCGTAATGATAAATAGGTAACTGAGCTCAGAAATCTTATTATATAAATGTTTGCAACAGTGAAAACGAATATGACAGGAAATAATCTAATGCGTAGTAGTTAAAGCTAAACGATAAACTTGATTGTTTTAAAGGAGAAGGACCACTAAATGCGAATAAGCCACATTTAGCCCGTTCCAACCTTCATTAAAGTGATTTTTTTTTAAAATCACGCAAATACTTGTTGTTTTTTTAGAATTCAATGCCGGGTTTGTATGATTCCTGTACAATTCGGGGAGGTGCATTGTACTAGTGGGTGAATACACCGCGAAAAAATTGGTGAGCTGTTACGATGAAATGAGCGGTTCAATTTTTTACCAATTATTAAAAAAAAACAGAAAGAAGATGTCCCAGCTGATGTCTTGAGTTGATTGTCCCACCGCGAAGATGATACTTGATGTTATCGCCGTCTGGTCATAATTACAAAACTTTACAACAAGGTAAACATCACTCAAGTCATTTGTTTATTTCCGGGGGTGACTATAATAATTACATTAAAAATTAATGGAGTTCCCGCAATGCTTATTAAGTACTAAAGGATGAGACTCCTTGATCCATTCGTTAGGTACATTTGATAGTTGCCGTTAGACACCCGCACCTTACTGTACATAGTAGGTACAACCGATAAGCACAAATGATCCAATTTTGCAGGCATCAATAGTGCACGAAAGCGACACACGCCCTCAATAATACAAACTCGCTGAGTAGATATGGCCCAGGCATTACAAGAAAGCGACTGATATCAATATAGATAAGAAAAGATCATAGATTTAAACTTTCTTGTGTATTATAAACGGAATCAAAACCACAGGGAGAGTCGATACTATCCATATTGATCGCTGGCAACAACAACAAAAAAATCAATAGGCACCCAGCGTGATCGGGAGAAGAAAAAAAAATTGGAGGTCACAGGGGCTGGGAGGCACAATGTTGTTTTGATGCCAGAAAAAAACATTGCTGTTTGGTGGGTCTGTGTCTGTGTATCAGAGAGGGGAGGGGATACTTTTAGGGAGAGGTGATAACTGAAAAAACAACCCAGAGACATCCTCGAATTGTTTATTGACTACAGTTTTAGAGGTAAGACTTGTATTTTTGTGTCATACTGTTTACATTCTAGAGTTGGAGCCATTGTTTACTGGATACATTACACTATGCCACTTACTAAACTATATCACTATGTAGTGTTATATATATTATGTATATATGTGTGGGTGTAATTGAAACCAATAGCTATCACTGTTGTGGTTCTGTCGGTTCTTGGTTCATTAATTCTTGCAAGTGTTGCGCTTAGTCTCGGGGACGCTATTCAAAACACGTTTAATCCCCCCCCCCCACAAGCAGTTCAGATTGATTTGTCCTTGAGGCATTGATTTCTGTAAACTCCCACACACAAAAGAGGTACCGCACCGACATTTCATAATTGGATTTATATTGGCCTACTGGTCAAATACTTCAATGAAAGTCAAGGAAATGATTGCTAAATAAAATAAAATAAATATATCTAACAAGATCACAAGACATGTAGTGTTGTCTTGCAAGCAACCTAGACACCACGCTGTGTCTTGCAAGCAACCTAGACACCACGTTGTGTCTTGCAAGCAACCTAGACACCACGTTGTGTCTTGCAAGCAACCTAGACACCACGCTGTGTCTTGCCAAAGAAATATGATTGTCTCACTATCCAACAATCTTTAGTTTGACTCAGGGGCGTGTCTAGGGTTAAGGCCGTCCAGGACGGACAAAGCTGTTTGTCTCCCCTTTCCACTAACACTGCAGTTGGCCGAAAATCACGCCTTTTAATTTTAGAAAAATGTGCCACCCGGGGCGGAAGGCGCCCTCCACACCCCTACCTACCCAACTGGTAGAATGACTTTAAACCAGTCCTGGTATGTTATAATGTCTATCACATAAAGCGTCTTTCTGTTTGTAGATAAGCCCTGGCAGCGAGTGTCGCCGTTGTTCACCTGTCCGCGCTGAAAGTATTGACCACTGCGTCATAAACAAATGTAATCTGTTCTTGCAACCTGTGTTGTGAAGTCTGGAATACATTTTACGACTATGTTATGGAGCTAAGGGTCTGTGACAAACACACGAGCAGACTTTCACGCCAGACATGGGACCGTGCGTGACCGGGGCACAAGAGAGGGCTTGTATATCTCTCTTTGTTAATAAATGGACCGCACAAGAAAAAGTCAGACGATTTCTACCTTGGTTTTATACAGGTTTAAAGTCGTGAGTCGTGTGTCTCAAGGCCAAAAACATTTTACTCTGACAACCCCAGGACCAAAACACTGCGGCAAGATTAACAGGTCTCCCAAAACTAATCCAAGCAAACTTAATTGCTCAAAGTTTAAATACCAAAAAGTAGTTTTTCGATGTGGAAAGAAATCGTGAAATGAATATGTCCAAAGCAGTCCATCAGTTTCCAGCCTTCTCCCAGATTTTGTTTTCTCTATGGATAAAGTGATGTCCAAAATCAGAGCCCAATACATGTCCAAGATCAGAGCCCAAGACATGTCCAAAATGAGAGCCCAAGACATATCCAAGACCAGAGCCTCAGACATATCCAAAACCAGGCCCCAGACATGTCCAAGACCAGAGCCTCAGACATGTCCAAGACCAGGGCCCAAGACATGTCCAAGATCAGAGCCCCATACATGTCCAAGACCAGGGCTCCACACATGTCACCTACGTTGTACCTACCAAATGGGGGGAGCACTTGTCGGCGCTGTAGTAAGGGTGCATGCCGCCCCTGTTGAATGTCAGGATCCGGTTGGCCTCCGTCCCGCCGTTGTTGAACCACTCAAAGTCCCGCCACCTCGCCATGCGGTGCCACTCCTGGTCACTCATGTGCTGCCGGCAGAGGGCGCCGTCGGGGTTGGGGAAGTAGAGGTTGTACCAGGCCCACTCGTGATGAAAGGCCATGGTGACACTATCAACTATAGTTAAATAGTTTTTAAAAAAAACAAAAAAAAAACAAAAAACAATTGTCTCCTTATTGAAGTCTAATAGTAATTCTTCAGAATGAAATTCAACTGCATCAATTTCACTCGCAGATCAAGATGTTGATATATTTTCTTGCTGATGTTATTTTGTTTCCCCTCAAAGTTTCTGTTGATAAAAAAATATAAAGGAAATGTAAAATAAAAAAAAATAGTTCAGAACAGTTCTATACAAATGGGAAGAAAGGGGTACTAGGCAGTGCAATGATCTATTTCTCATCGCATCTAAAATTAGTCTTTCTCCGTGGGATTGAATTCTCTGACTAAATGAAAGTAGCGGTTATAGGTGCCTTGCCTTTTCGCGCGTGTGTATAGATCGCTCCAACAAATTGACCTTCTCTGGCCTCCGTGAATCCTGTTTTGTACCGGGATCTTTAGCAAACACACACGCTTTAAAGATTAAATCCCAGGAATGTATGGCACGGGAATGAACCCAGAAGCCAACGTATTTAAAAAACCTTACAGGAATAATATCGACAGAAAGGGAATTGTTGACCTTTGACCTTTAACATACGTTTTCAGGTAAGGCCCTGCCAGAGACTAGTTATCGGCCCTCGTATTATAGCTCAGTAAAAGTTACTGAATATCGAGACAGAGCTTGAAAGATTCATTGCATGAGGGCACCGCTAGTAGTTTACACAATTGAAAAAAAATATACTCGTTTTAATATTAAACTTAAAAGTGAAACCGGCACAGCAGCGCTATGAGTCTGCTCATGTGATGTAGCTGAACCGTTTCAATTCTTGCGTAGCAGTACGTTTGCGAAAGCACTTCAAAAAACACACGCTCTCGCCTAGCAGTGATACTTTGATGAATCAATCAATGGTAGCCAGCAAACACCAAAAGAGAATCATTTGCCTTGATTTTCTCAGTACCCTCATGATATATTTTGATATAATTCCTTTTAATAAAAAAAACAGCAGTGCATATTAGGTTTTCCAGAGGGCATATTGGTTTAGACTCGGATATGGCTGATTAGGTTGAAATCGGATATGGCTCTTTAAGTTAGACCAGGAAATGGCTAATTAGGTTAGACTCGTATAATGACTCATTAAGTTGAAATCGGATATGGCTCATTAGGTTAGACTCGGACGGTGCTCATTAGGTTAGACTCGGACATGGCTCATTAGGTTAGACTCGGACTGTGCTCATTAGGTTATACTCGTATAATGACTCATTAAGTTGAAATCGGATATGGCTCATTAGGTTAGACTCGGACTGTGCTCATTAGGTTAGACTTGGACATGGCTCAATCTGTTAGACTCGGACGGTGCTCATTAGGTTAGACTCTGACCGTGCTCATTAGGTTAGACTCTGACCGTGATCATTAGGTTAGACTCTGACCGTGCTCATTGGGTTAGACTCTGACCGTGCTCATTAGGTTAGACTCTGACCATGCTCATTAGGTTAGACTCTGACCGTGCTCATTAGGTTAGACTCGGACATGGCTCAATCTGTTAGACTCGGACCGTGCTCATTAGGTTAGACTCTGACCGTGCTCATTAGGTTAGACTCTGACCGTGCTCATTAGGTTAGACTCTGACCGTGCTCATTAGGTTAGACTCTGACCGTGCTCATTAGGTTAGACTCTGACCGTGCTCATTAGGTTAGACTCTGACCTTGCTCATTAGGTTAGACTCTGACATGGCTCAATCTGTTAGACTCGGACCGTGCTCATTAGGTTAGACTCGGACATGGCTCAATCTGTTAGACTCGGACGGTGCTCATTAGGTTAGACTCGTATAATGACTCATTAAGTTGAAATCGGATATGGCTCATTAGGTTAGACTCGGACGGTGCTCATTAGGTTAGACTCAGACATGGCTCAATCTGTTAGACTCGGACGGTGCTCATTAGGTTAGACTCGGACATGTCTCAATCTGTTAGACTCGGACGGTGCTCATTAGGTTAGACTCGTATAATGACTCATTAAGTTGAAATCGGATATGGCTCATTAGGTTAGACTCGGACTGTGCTCATTAGGTTAGACTAGGACTGTGCTCATTAGGTTAGACTCGGACTGTGCTCATTAGGTTAGACTCGGACTGTGCTCATTAGGTTAGACTCGGACATGGCTCAATCTGTTAGACTTTTCGGACCCAGGTATCAGAAGTGATTCAATTATCTATCATTTGATAACAAATTTTATCTTACAACCCAACAATAATATTTTTAAATATTTTTTTAATCCCAACCTCTCACTTCTGGGACCCGGGTCCCTACAGCCACTTCGTTGTTCAATAATGTTTTCATAACATTTCATAACATGGTTGAACATTACACACTCCTACATTGTCTATAATTTATTTTAGCTTACCAGTTTAGCACCCAAAAGATGACCTGTAAGCGAAAGCTGCGTAAAGAGGATGCAATGTCAATCCATACGATTTCGGATCAATATTATTTAACGTTATATGTGTTATTATTTATCAAACAGAAAATTTGAGTGTGTATTTGCGTGTAATGCTGGGGTGCAGTGTGCATCATATGACGTGTTCGAAGTCAATGTTCTAAGACGTAGTAAAAAAAAAATTGTTTAGAATTTTGGTGTGCAAAATAGTAATAAAAGAAGTGACGAACATTTTGTACATTTATAAGGCACTAATATCAACCAAATATGTTCGTTTCCATGTAGAACTTCTTGTCTAATTAATTGACAAACATGTAGACATTGACAGCGAGTAGGTGAATAGCATTTAAGAGAGAGAGAGAGAGAGAGAGAGAGGTGGGTGGGGAAGTGTGTGAGAGAGCGAGTGGTCGGGTGATGGGTGGGGGAGTGAGTGAGAGAGGGAGGAAGAAAGAGAGAATTATGTCGGAACTATATTTTAGTACTTGCTTCATGCTGAAGTCAAAGGGTGTTAAGATCTGGACGCTCTAGCACAGTGGTTCCGAAAATGGGGTAGGCGCATCCCAGGGGTACGCGGTGGGTTACTCATAAGTAAAAAAAGTCTAATTATGAGGTACTGGGGAAATAAAAATGTGGGCACCTCTGCTCAAGTACATCACTAATTGTATTCGTGGTACCAGAAATTGGTCTACGATAAGATCTTCAGAAAGGTTAACTTTGCTAATCTTCTCTGTCCAGCTGAACCTTTCGAAGATGACAAGTTCCTCCATACCTCACGTCTCATGTAACCACATTGGCCCGGACTTTGACTGGTGGCGCTGCAACGAGGAGGGCTACGTGGGGCGCCCACCCTCACCCTTCCCGGCGTCCTTTGAGCACGCACGACGTTTCAGAGAGGACAGCGCCGACGCCAGGTACGGCCAACGGGGCGGGCTGACCTCGGAGACCAACGGATGTCGTGACAACTGCAGCGGAGACGCCGACCTGGACGAGGCTACACGTCGTAAGTCTCTGTGCTGTTGAGTGGGTTGTTGAGTGTGTTGTTGAGTGTGTTGTTGAGTGGGTTGTTAAGTGTGCTGTTGAATGTGTTGTTAAGTGTACTGTTGAGTGTGTTGTTGAGTGTGTTGTTAAGTGTACTGTTGAGTGTGTTGTTGAGTGTGTTGTTGAGTGTGTTGTTGAGTGTGTTGTTCAGTGTGTTGCACGAGACACTCAGTGTCAGCCTTAGTTGTATCTTAAACCCACATCAAAAGTAGCGAGTCATCATTCCACAGACGAGCATTAGTCTGTATCTATCTGCATCGATTGCATTGTACACTTGAAGTTAAGCTTTCATGTACACTAAGAAGAATCTTTAAATAGCATTGTTGCTTAAAGGATTTTAAAAATCAAAATTTGACTGATTTAAATTACAAGTATTGCAAACAAGATTTTTTTTAAAGGGGTGTAATACGTAAGCATAATAAATAATCACTTTTTCCAGTTTACTTCCCCTTAGTTAACTTTTCTATAGTTACTTGTTTAAAAATTTCGATTGTCTTACTAATAGACATTATTCTGAAGGTTTAATATCCCAGTCTTTAATGAAACCTTGAATATAAGTGTGCACTGGGGGTAATAAAACATATCTATCTGATTTTGTTAAATAAATGCATCCACCTTCTAGTTAGCACATAGCTGTATGATTGAAGGAATCAGGTTGTTAGGCCACAGGTGTAATGAGGGACACAAAACCAACATTGTGATGTGTGATACTTGTATGATGTGTGATATTTTTGTGGTGTGTGACATTTGTGTGATGTGAGATACTAGTGTTATATGGGATGCTTGTGTGATGTGTGATACTTGTGTGATGTGTAATACTTGTGTGATGTGTGATACTTGTGTGATGTGTGATACTTGTGTGGTGTGTGATACTTGTGTGATATTTGTGTGATGTGTGATACTTGTGTGATGTGTGATACTCGTATGATGTGTGATACTTGTGTGATGTGTGATACTTGTGTGATGTGTGATACTCGTATGATGTGTGATACTTGTGTGATGTGTGATACTTGTGTGGTGTGTGATACTTGTGTGATGTGTGATATTTGTGTGATGTGTGATACTTGTGTGATGTGTGATACTCGTATGATGTGTGATACGTGTGTGATGTGTGATACTTGTGTGGTGTGTGATACTTGTGTGATGTGTGATATTTGTGTGATACTTGTGTGATGTGTGATACTCGTATGATGTGTGATACGTTTGTGATGTGTGATACGCGTTTGACGTGCGATGTTGTTGTGATGTGCGGCATTTGTGTGATGTGTGATGCTTGTATGATTTGGGACACTTGTGTTGTATGGGATACTTGTTTGAGGTGGGATACTTGTGTTTTTGGGATACTTTTGTGATGTTTGATACTTGTGTGATGTGTGATGCGTGTGTGACATGGGAGTGGGATATTTGTGTGATTTGCGATACTTGTGCGATGTGTGACACTTGTTTTATGTGTGTAATTGGGTGATGTGGGATACTTGTGTACTGTGTGATACCTGTGTTATTTGAATACTTGTGTGATTTATGATACGTGTGTGATTTGGGAGTGGGATACCTGTGTAATGTTTAATACTTGTGTTATGTGTGATACTTTTGTGAAGTGGTATACTTGTGTACCGTGTGAAACCTGTGTTGTTTGTGATTTGGGATTGGGATACTTGTGTAATGTGGGATACACGTGTTATTTGGTATACTTCCGTGCGTGATTTGGGAATGGGATACTCGTATAATGTGTGATGCTTGTGTTATAAGGGACACTTATTTTTATGCCGGTGTAGACCCTTGGTGACGTTAACACACGAGTGCTTTAGTCAGTTTAAATCTTTAAGATGTTGTGCTCGCACATGTGTGATCTGTGTTGTGTGGTGTTAAGCTCTCAGAAATTGTGCCAACCTTTCCCTCTTAATTAAAGCCTCGGGCGATGTCGGATATGATAAGGTGTTTTCCCAACGTTCACGGGTGAAAGGTATTTTTGTAGATAACTGTCAGAGTTTATAAATATTTTGTTTTGCGTTAGATTGTCTCCCTTGAAGTTGGAGTGGGCTGTTATTGGGGGGTTTAAACAGCCTGTATCTCGAAATAAGCTACTTTTAACCCACAAGAGTACTACATTCATCTACCAGCATCATCTGCTACACATACTTTACATTCTTTTTCTCCCAGGTCTGTACTGGCCCCTGTGCCAAGGACCCGAGATTGTGGTGTCTGCTGCAGAGGAAAATGATGACCTTGGACTGACACCCAGGGGAAACGGGGGAGCCAAGAAAACACCAAGGCTCCCCCACAAACGCCCCGCCTGGGTGCCGGCCAAGATGCCCAATAAGTGGGGGGTGGCTGGACATCCTCCACCGTACACGAACTACTGCAAGGAGACGCTCTTCAACACCCGGACTGCTGACCCCGCAAAGGTCACCATCAGAACGACCTTTTAACTTTAACCTTTTTGGTTTTAGCCTAAAACATCTTGATGGTGTAAGATGTATGAATGTTTAATTTATAGTTGATAGAACATCGGCTAAATGATGTTGGTGGTTTATCACCTGTATTAACTTACATCTTCTTTGACTTTCACATTAAAAAAAAACAACAACAACCTAAAAATGTGGAAGAAACAACAAAAATTACTTTATAAAATAATTGAGATTTAAGCTTAAAACCTCCCCAATTAATTTAAGTAGTATTTTGATGTTACATATTCGCATGTAAATTGTAAAAGGTAACTTTATAACATGATTTAATTAGCAGCATTGATCTAATGTTGTGATGTATTTTTGTGATGTAGTTTTGTGATGTAATGTTGTGATTCAATCTTGTGATGTAATATTGTGATGTAATTTTGTGATATAATATTTTTATGTAATGTTGTGATGTAATGTTGGGATTGATTTCACGCTGTTTAGCACTAATGCAATGGTTTCTTGAGAATTAAGGTGTTGCTATACTCTCGGTCCTTTAAAAAACATACGTCTTATCTGATCATGTGTAAAATAAAATCAATAGTATTACATTACAGAGACACCAACACTAATTAGAATTCCACCCAGTTTGAGAACCATTCATTTATGTACATCTTTAAAAAAACAAAACAATAAAGCTTCTGTGATAATGACTTATGTACAACGTTGTAGTTCTTTGAAACATGTGTGTACGTCTTTAAAACGTTTGTTTGCATATTAGAAACATTTGTGTAACTCTTTGAAACACATTTGTCTCATTTACAAGTTAGTTCCTAATAAAAGATTCAACAAACTGTCTTATTCTTAAATCCTGTTCCATGGGTTGTATTCAATGTTAGTTTTACAAACCTTAGTTTAGTTCATGAGCAAAGATTAAAAGTAATTAAATTGTTTTAAGTAGTTTTGATTGTGCATATTTTATCGCCAGAAATTCTAACACATACACTTATGGAATATCTTACTTGTAACAGAACGCACCAGAGGACAAACAACTTAGAAAAGAAAGAAGGTTTAAAATAAAATTAAAGTTTTAAAAAAAACAATATTTAAAAAAACAACAACAAATATTTCCATAACTTTGTCATTTGAACTTAACGATACTACTATACTAAAATGATTTGCTTGCAAACTCTTATACCAGCCTATGCAGTATTTGGCCGGCTAATAATTAATACATTTTATGTTTTAAATGAGAAATCATATCTAACTGTTAGATTTGTTCTCCTATAAAAGCAATTGTTTTATTTCATTTGAAGCTAAAATTATAAGGGATAGGGAACACTATAGTAAGATTCCAAGACAACAGCCTTCTTTAAGCCCTGTTATGTCTGTTTGACGACAGGATGTTTTCAAAATTAATAGATGGAAATAGAAGCTATTGGGTAACTTTAGAATGGGCTTATTAAGACTGACGGTAAAAAATAGGGGCTTGACAAAGGAGGAAACATCGATGTCTACCTGATGATGTTTTTCTAGAGATGTCTGCCTAGCGATGTCTTCCTGATGATGTCTCCCTATAGATGTCTTTCTAGCGATGTCTTCCTATAGATGTCTTCCTAGCTCTTAAGGTTTGAAAATTGACATGAAAATCGAGAGACTATCTAATAAAAATTAATATTTTATTCTGCCCCCGAGTTTATTTTAAACAATATCATAATTTATAAAGTATTTTTTTTTTTCAAAAAGGAACAACAAATACGGTATAGCTAAATTTACGTTTTCAAATTAATTAAATTAGTAAGTCTCTTATGTAACCCCGCCATCTCCATAAGCTTGACGATGCGAACTAAGCTCCTATAAATATATTATCAATTTACGCACCACAGAAAAGCGCGTTCCGTATTGCACCAATGTAAGCATCATTTGAACCCAAACATTTTTGACATGGCGCCCTGGTAAGTAGCAGTACTAGAATGGTGCAAGGGGAATTTTAAAAATTAAAATAATGATATTGCAGCTATGGATTTACATTTCATTTCATGTGGGCAGTGAATGTAACGCCTTATTTTTCGGACAACCTAACAAGAAATAAGTTAACCTTCTCATTCTGAATAGATTTGATCACAAAACCCAATGGAACATATTGCTGCCGTCCATCAGATGGATGGAGAGAGGGCGTGCTTCTTCGGGGCGTGCAAGAGCATTTAATTTAATATTATTAACGTACAATTATTTCGCAAATATTACAAACACTTATTCTGACGGTTTTTTGTTCTAGAGCTCTGGGCCATATGTTCCAACTTCTATAGTTTTTAATGTGATAAACATTTTAAGTTTGATATTTTTTTAGATTTAAAAACAACATGAAATTATTTATCCAGTATAAAATAATTTGTAATTAAAATTCTTAATTTAATTGAATCTATTTTCACTGACACAAACAAAAAACACATATTAAAATTGGTCGAATTTTAAATAGCTCAAGTTTTTGTCTTGATGTGAGTTGCCAGGTCTTAAAATATTTCGCCTTCAGAATCCTATTTAAAATGCTCATTTTTTCTTGTAACAACAAATAATGATTGTAGTCCACAGCATATTCCCTGAATTGTTGAACTTCGCACCTCCCTGCTGGCCTGGTCATATGACCCCAGCCCCCATCTGGATGACACCCCAACAGCCCCGCCCTGACACCATCGTAGAGTTTCGATCCGCCTCACGTCAGCAATAGCTCCTGATACAAACTCCACAAATAATTACAAGACAACCCAAGAAATCTCTCCAAGAAAATCCTGCCCCCACCCCAATAACGATAATCAGCCAGGTCTCACAATCCAGCCACGACCGACTGTCCCATACCAGTACCCCTCCCCTCTCTGCACACCCACCCGCTCACCCCACACATCAGCTGCGATGGAGAGCTGCTGTCCTCAAGCTTGTCACCACGAGAACTCCCGGGAGCACTCGGGCCAGATATTCGATTGGTGGAGATGCTCAAAGGATGGCCAGATCCTGAAACCCGTGCCACAGGACCGCATCGTTCCGCCCCTGCCCGCCCCTCCACTCAGACGGGACCGTGAGTCATTAAGGCGATAGATAACGTTCAGTGCGAGCTCGTCGTCTTCAACAGCAACGCACCACAAGTCATTCATTTCCAAAATTCATTGGACAAGCGAGAGAAATAACAAAAAATTTATATATATTTATATATATATATATATATATATATATATAGATATATATATATATATATATATATATACACACACACACAGAGCACCTACCGTTCTATTGCCCACCCTTCGTCACTAAGTTTTAAGTAGATCATAACACAGTTCAACCATACGAGAGGATTTAGCGGGGACTACTCTAGCATGTTGTTTTTATTTTTGAAATATGCTTGATTATCTCCCTTGTATTTAACTGAGAGAAATAAAAAAAAAAATATATATATATATATATATATATATATATATATATATATATATATATATATACACACACACACAGAGCTCCTACCCTTCTATTTCCCACCCTTCGTCACTAAGTTTTAAGTAGCTCATAACACAGTTCAACCATACGAGAGGATTTAGCGGGGACTACTCTAGCATGTTGGTTTTATTTTTGAAATATGCTTGATTATCTCCCTTGTATTTAACACCTGAATCAGAGGTTGGGGAAATTTTATTAAAAACTCCAATAATTTCGATATTATTCTCTCCCGTGTAATAAGGCTTAGGGCAGCATTTTAAACAAACTAGTCACTTTTGGAGGATTATTTTCAAAAATTTCCCCAAAACAATTTGTAAATGGGCAGCTTTCTTTATCAAGTGTTATTTCCCTTTAATCTTTGGCAATGAATGTTTTTTTTTATAGTTTTTTTTTTAAACCTTTTTTATATACCAAAATTAAGTTATGCATGTGTGTGTGTGCTGACTTATCAATAAATCACGGTTGAAATCTTTACCCATCGTTGCCCTTACTGATATTACTAAACACATTTATAAACAACTATGTAAATAATAAACATTACTATACACTTCTAATTTGATTTAATGATTGGGAACATTTTCTAAATTTACTTTAGGAGTATGCATTGATGTTTTTTTTTTTCCTCTTTTAAATGCCCAATATTGGATATATTGTATATTATCCTATTTGTGACACTGAAATTACTTTGAAGTATGTTCTCTTTAATCTAAAATGCTGACCGTAACATCTCTCGTTTGTCGCTGCAGACCTCTGCTGGCCGCTGTACAAGGGCGCCGAACAACCCAAGGACGTCAAGCCGAAGAGCGAGGACGACGACTGCGAGGTCAGTCGAGACTTCTGGCCTGACAGCTGGGACAAGACCGGCAAGAGGCCGAGACTGGAGCACGCCCGTCCGCCGTTTCTACCCGCCTTGCTCCCGAACCAGTTCGGCGTGGTCAAGTACCCCCCGCCCTACACCCACTACTGCCGGACAAGGGAGACGCCACTGAGCTATGTCTCTAAGACATAGGCCTCGACCGCCATAGCACCGCCAGCAGCGGATCTTCCATTTGAGCATTAGAAAATGTGCGCTATCTGGTCATGTCAGGGTGAACCGGCTCACACACCCCAGACAAGTTCATGTTAATTGATTAACATAGCGTACTTTCAAAACATTTAATAGCGTTAACAAATTATTACGAGTATCAAATTTTTTTTTTTCGATAGTCGGTGCCATGGTGGCTTCATATCTTGGATTGATTCGTTCATCTCTCGGCACTTATAATTGTACACGCACTGGCCCTGCACATTCTGATAAAGGCACTATTCAGTGGTGAGCTTAAACATCTCGGATAACGTAACTGGTGCATGCATAATTTATATCAGTATCAATAACAACAACAACAAGAAATCAATAAAAATTAATAATAATCCCAACCAATGTAAGGTTCAAGAATTCATTTTTGAAATGTTACAAAGAGATAGTGCTATCTAGCCTGCACTGTCGAGCTGGGGCCATTCAACTGTTGCCACCAACACCACCAAGCTGATTGACCATGCTAGTGCCATTTATCTATAGCCATCAATGATGGTCAATACCATCAAGCTGAATGCAAAATATTTTGTGACAGATTCCAAAGAACTTCCTGGCCATTGTTTCTGTTTTTTTTTTGTGGTAATAAAACAGGGCTGAATAGTAAAAAAAAAAAAAGAGTTAATTGAGTTTATTTTTAATGGAATCGTTGGATTTTAAGCTCTAACCCCAAGTATTAAGCTCTAACCCCAAGTATTAAGCTCTAACCCCAAGTATTAAGCTCTAACCCCAAGTATTAAGCTCTAACCCCAAGTATTAAGCTCTAACCCCAAGTATTAAGCTCTAACCCCAAGTATTAAGCTCTAACCCCAAGCATTAAGCTCTAACCCCAAGTATTAAGCTCTAACCCCAAGTATTAAGCTCTAACCCCAAGCATTAAGCTCTAACCCCAAGCATTAAGCTCTAACCCCAAGTATTAAGCTCTAACCCCAAGTATTAAGCTCTAACCCCAAGTATTAAGCTCTAACCCCAAGTATTAAGCTCTAACCCCAAGTATTAAGCTCTAACCCCAAGTATTAAGCTCTAACCCCAAGTATATTATTGAACCATTCAAACAAAAAATAAATAATGAAAGCTAAAATGTATCCCGTGGCATCTTTCCTGAACTAAAAGTTCTTTGTTCTTCTAATGGAAATGAGGTGGAAGCAAATAGAAGAAGATAGCTCAGTGGCTTAGCCGTGCACCCCACAACTTTAGCTGAAGAGTAGGGGTGTTTGGTGGGTCCTAATCTTGTTCATTATGTCTAATCAAGCTATTTCTGTATTATTGGTGGCCCTGATTAAAGTCCCAGGTCGATCGGAACTCCTCCAGACATTTTGGTGAGAGCACTCCTCTAGTCCGGCTTTCATCCATTCGCCTGAAAGTAAGCCTAAAAGAAAATACCAAAGTAACAGAAAATTAGTTCTATGAGACCATATTGTGAAAGGGCTTAGTCACAAATAATAATTCTCTAGGAATACATGTGCGTTTGCAACGCTGAGTTCAATAGACGTGCAAAATAAAATTCCCAGTAGCTAGAACTAATTGGGATTCTTATATCGAGCGTTAACTGAATGCATTTTTTTGTTTTGTACCATTAGTACCATTAGTACCGGAAAGTTCACACATTACTTCGCAGGTTATTTCTAGTATATAGTACACAGATGCACAGATGCACATAACAAATATCATTGTTCCGTGGCTGGCCAAAGAACCGCGAATGACATCTGGCCAAAGAGAGATTTGGAGAGACCAAACATGGGCATGTCATTATGAACTTGTTGGTTTCCCCAAAGCTATAAACAATGTTTGCGACACTTATTTAATACACCACTGTCTTGACGCACGGCAAATCCAAGAATTGAAAATGAAAGTAGTTCAAGATTTGTCCATCGTCGATACACAAAGTGTACATAAATTAATTGCTCTGTCATCGGTCAGACGTTTCTCTATGTCAGCTTCTTTGCTGATATGTGCTATGTCAGCTTCTTTGCTGATATGTGCTATGTCAGCTTCTTTGCTGATATGTGCTATGTCAGCTTCTTTGCTGATATGTGCTATGTCAGCTTCTTTGCTGATATGTGTTATGTCAGTCAGCTTCGTCCCTGTTTTGTTATGTCAGTCAGCTTGGTCCCTGATATGTTATGTCAGTCAGCTTGGTCCCTGATATGTTATGTCAGTCAGCTTGGTCCCTGATATGTTATGTCAGTCAGCTTGGTCTCTGATATGTTATGTCAGTCAGCTTGGTCCCTGATAGGTTATGTCAGTCAGCTTGGTCCCTGATATGTTATGTCAGTCAGCTTGGTCCCTGTTATGTTATGTCAGTCAGCTTGGTCCCTGATATGTTATGTCAGTCAGCTTAGTCCCTGATATGTTATGTCAGTCAGCTTGGTCCCTGATATGTTATGTCAGTCAGCTTGGTCCCTGATATGTTATGTCAGTCAGCTTGGTCCCTGATATGTTATGTCAGTCAGCTTGGTCCCTGTTATGTTATGTCAGTCAGCTTGGTCCATGTTATGTTATGTCAGTCAGCGTGTTCCCTGATATGTTATGTCAGTCAGCTTGGTCCCTGATATGTTATGTCAGTCAGCTTGGTCCCTGATATTTCATGTCAATCAGCGTGGTCCCTGATATTTCATGTCAATCAGCGTGGTCCCTGTTATGTTATGTCGTTCAGCTTGGTCCATTTTATGTCATTTAGCTTGGTCCATGTTATGTTATGTCATTCAGCTTGGTCCATTTTATGTCATTCAGCTTGGTCCATTTTATGTCATTCAGCTTGGTCCCTGTTATGTTATGTCATTCAGCTTGGTCCATTTTATGTCATTCAGCTTGGTCCCTGTTATGTTATGTCATTCAGCTTGGTCCCTGTTATGTTATGTCATTCAGCTTGGTCCATTTTATGTCAGTCAGCTTGGTCCATTTTATGTCATTCAGCTTGGTCCATGTTATGTTATGTCATTCAGCTTGGTCCCTGTTATGTTATGTCATTCAACTTGGTCCATGTTATGTCATGTCAGTCAGCTTGGTCCCTGATATGTACCTGACATCTGTGACGTATGCATGAAATGTGTTGAATTTGATTGAAAGTTAAGAGAGAGAGACATAAAATAAAGTAATCTGCATTAATCTTTACTGTACACGTTCAAGGAAGTAATCCGAATGATACTCCAGTAGCATTAATTTGGAAACATATAATTTTCTTGACAGTCGAATGAGTGATCCCATTTTTAAGACTGATTTCATTCGTTTTGCTGATTGTTAGTGTTAGGCCCACTAAGTTTTAAACGTACACAACATACTTTTTATAGTTTTAAAGTGTGCACGATATAACATTTGTAACCCAATTTTATAAAATAATTGTTCAGAGTAATACTTTTGCGTTTAAAAAAATAATATTTAATGATATAGAATATAGAGGAATAAATAACCACATCCTTCATAATTACCGCCATCTCACCACTTGTGACACACACCATCCAAATCACTGCAATAAGCATATCGACGTGTTATTATTTATCGCATAATTGTCGTTGCTTTTTTTTTAAAATAGTAGAACAAGATATGTGGAAGCTTGAAACAGACAGACAGGACAATAAAAGGAAGGCTCTTGGCCGAAAGGTTCTCCCTTTATTGTCCTGTCTTTCTGTACTTCAAACTTCCACATACCATGTTCTGCTCTTTCCCCTCACTAAGCCTGAACGCAGTCCTTCATTTATTATCCTTGGCTGCTGTTGTTGTTGTTTTTTTAACCACAAAACATATAATTCAGTATTGTAGTTTCTTATAGTCAATAGATATTATTTTTTTAAAATCGTTTCTATAAACTTTGCTTTTGTTCGCGTGTTTCTTGGTGGTGGCTAATCCTTCGGACGGCTTGACCCACTTCCCATCATCCTATCGAGCTGAAACTTGGCACACCGACTCTTTGCTGATGACAACGACATATTCTTTTCAAATTTGCTCAACGGCTGCGTGTTTTGGTGTGGGGGTTAATTGTGTGGCTGTTGCTATTAATATGCTTTTCATTTGTGATGTTTTGGGGGTTTAAAGTTTAAACATATCTTTTGTCTATTGGGTTTTTTATGCACCAAGTTTGATCGAAACCATTCCCATACCCAAAAAAATTCAGTTGTTACAGTCACATAAATGATAAAATCCCGTATAATCACATCAACGCAAACAAAAAATGCATATTAAGGATTTATATGAAAAACTTCGTTTTTTGAAGCCGCGCCTCGCTCGGCCAAGTCAATAAAACTACAACAGCGGTGAAATTAAAAACGTCAAAAGACATTACGCCTATGGGGCTGCTTTTTTCTTTATATCCGTGCCATGACACCAGAACTACCTGTAACTCTACTGCACTCTCTGCGCCGACTGTTATGGCAGGCACAAGGGTAATCTCCGGGCATTGAGGACCAGGTCAAAACAAACAACGTCAACGTGAGTACGTAGGCATCCTCTCCGTCTTGAACCAGATCAACACGAGATCAACACGAGATTACACCAAAAAAAAAAAAATTAATACAGAACACGTGCCCGTAAAATGCAACCCCGCACCTCCCCCTTTTCCCCCATACCCATTTTTTTTTTAAAATAACGATAAAATCCTCTGTTTTCAAGCCTATGATCTAATGCTTTGCTATTTTATCAACGGCACAACTCGTAAGCCGTCTTGTGTTTTAATGGCCGTATTAATTCATCCTTCCCCCGAGCGGTGCCAACACGGAGCTTTCCCCCTTTGAGGGCGACCGCCCGTGATTAGGCCTGCGGTCGAGATAACAACGTGATCGGGAACCGAGTCAGATGAAAATTCTTATTGTCCTCGCCAAGGTAACGAACTCTAATATGATTACCTTGTTGTCACTACCGTCGGCGTGAGTAGCGCCCCGCTACGAGATCTGAACGCAGACGCACGAGCGCGGCAAAACATAAGATTGTATACGCCGCATAAAATAAAAAAAAAATAAAAAAATAAAAAAACGATTATCAGTTGAAATCCTTAGCATAAAGATTAAAATTTGTGAGTCTGTGATGTGAAATAACAATTAACAATGTTGTAACGGGATACAATAAAACTCACCTCACGTAATCCATGATCATTGTGTGAGTGTGTGTCTGTCTCTTGTTTTGTTTTTTGGATGAGTTAAATAAAGAAATATTTAGTGTGTTTGTGTGGAGTGTGTTCTAAAAAAAAACAACAACATATGTACAAGCATGTATAAAGTTGAAATGTATACATATCTTGAATTCGTCCTGTTAGAACTAAGCCCACAGCTGTAAGACGCAAGCATTAAGAAGCAGCTGTAACGCTGAAGCTGTAATCTGGACTTGAAGACTGTAGCTGTAGGACGAGGCTGCAGCTGTTGGTCGAAGCTGTAGCTGTAGGCCGAAGCTGTAGCCGTAAGCCCAAGCTGCAGCTGTACGCCAAGGCTGTAGGCGGCGGCTGTGCGTTTTCCGAAATTTTATTGAGTGAGAATCTCCGGGTGGTTGTGTCACTCGGGCCCACTAGATAAGCCCTCAATTTGGGCTCACTGCTGATACCGGCACGTAACCGTGTTGACTTCTCCCCGAGCACGTGATAAGGAAGGGGAGAGCACACACACACACACGC